CCTGGAAAAACTATAGACGAATATACAGTTAAAATTGTACAAGAATTTTATTGTATGGACGAAATAAGCAGAATCATACCAGACAAGAAAGATTGCGTTTCGATTTTGACCAAAGACGGAAAAAAGAATACCATAAGAGATTAATTTTAGATAATTTGAAAAAAATTTATATATTTTTTAAAGAAATGAGGCCTGATGTTAAAATTGGTTTTTCGAAATTCGCAAGCATTCGCCCAAAAATTGTATACTCGTTGAAGGTAGTGGTACACATGTATGTGATTGCAGCTACCACCAAAATTTAAATTAATGATCATTGGATCAAATTTAACCAATGATATGTTGCCCTTTAAAACATACAAACATATTTTACACTTAATAATTTGTAATTCGCCTCAACCATCCATTTATATGGGCAAATGTGATAATTGTCCAGGGTCAACACATTTACGCGATCGAATAGAAATATTGTTTCGTTCTAAGGACATCGAATTTATAACATACAAACAATGGCTATCCGTAGATAGAACCACCCTTGAAACAATAACCAAACCAGTAGGTGAATTTATTAATGCCTTTTTAAAATAAATGGAATCTTTATCATTTTTTTATTTCAACGCAACAATCGTTGTATCAAAACAATCTAAAATTGAACTTAGACGAAGACCAATATTTAATTTTGTGATTTTTAAGAAAACTATAGCTTTATACTTTAGGATGAAGTACAAAATTATCATTGGAATAGGGCTCAATCCACTGTTCACCCTTTTGTTATATATTATAAAGATAATTTTGCCAATATTTGTTGCCTAAATTATGTAATGATATCCGAATCTTTGCAACACAATACAATAGCAGTACATAATTTTAAAAAAACATTGCTCAATTTTTTAATTAATAAAATTTTTTATTTTTCGGTGGATCCGCTGCACAGTACAAAAACGTAAAAATTTTATTAATATTTGCCATCATGAGATGGATTTCGGTGTACAGGCGAAATGGCATTTTTCTGCTACAGCACACGGGAAAAGTGTTTGTGATGGGATTGGTGGCACTGTTAAAAGATTAGCCGCTAGAGCTAGTTTACAAGGCCTTACTCAAAGTACACATCATATGAATTGTACGAGTTAGCTAAAGAAAATATTAATGTCATATATTTTGAATAGATGACCAAAATAAATTATGATTACGAAGATCTATTACTCAGGGAAAGATTTTCAAAAACTAGATCTATACCTGGAACACACAAAATACACCTTGATTCCAACAGATCTACATAATTTAAAAGTAAAATATATTCCAATTTAATAGAAAGTACTTTGGAATAGTTATCATATAATGATGAAAGTATAATTATTGAAGAAATATCATGATACCTAACTTATTTTTATGATTCTAATTGGTGGTTAGCTTTGTTTTAGTGAAAAATCAAAAGCAGGAAGAAATATATATAAAGTTTCTACACCCATCCGGACCTTCAAATTCCTTTACATTCCCAAGATAGACGACACTCTTTGCTTGCCCAAATGTCATATCTTAACATTAGTTTCACTGTTAAATGCTACTGGCCGTAGTTATACTATACATTGTCGTCACAAGAAAGTAAATGCGCTACCGAAAAATTAGAATCTTTTAAAAGTAAGTTTAAATTTAAATTATAGTAATTTTTTTAATATTTAGGGCGCCACATATGAAATGCACAAGATTCTGATTCATATATTCAAGAACTCGAAACTTAATTAAACATATTTTATTAATATTTATTAAATATATGTTATATGGGCAAAAATTTTTATAATAAATTATAAATAAAGTAATAAATTGAATTTCTGTTATCGTTAGACAATTTCTATAATTGAATGAAAGCCCCATTTATTGTTATTTTCACTTACAAGATGAATAATCCTTTAAATTATATCAAATAGTCCAAGAAAAACCATTAAAAAATTATTAATATATAATTTTATACAAAGACGCCCCCTTTCGGGGAAATATTTATACACTTTCTAAACATTTTTATCGATTTTGAGAATGAAGATGGCCGCGTCCCAGACCAATTTTTTTTTATAAATATAAAGGAAGAGTTTAATATTGTCTACTAAATTTTTTAAAAAAATTGAAGGTCGTATTATTTCCAAAAAATCGTTTTTAGTCCTTATATATTAAATAAAATGACCGGAAATTGGGAAAAAAAATAAAAAATTTTTTTTATCTAAAAGTAGAATCTTTGTATGTAATTTTGATATTAAATTTGTTATTTACAATTATGTAGTTTTTAAGATATGCTTAATTGAATGAAGGCAGATAATGGTAAAAATACGTCATTTTTGACACTTTGAACCCTAATATCTTCAAAAATATAAATGTTAGGAGGCTAAAATTTTGGCTATTTCTTAGTTACATCGACCTTTCTTTGTTTACCAAATTTTAAAAAAATCGAAGGGGGTCGGCCGAAAATCTCATTTTTTTTGCTCATTTGACGTGGAATGACCCAATTAGGAACTGGGTTTAGTTTCATTTAAATAACTATGTTTTTTTCTCATAATTTTCTTAGCATTTTTTTGTAATAAATAGAATAAAATAGATAAACATAAAATTTTCAGATTGGTGAATATTTAAATTTAACATAACATTATAAATAAAGAGATTAGGATTAAAATAAATATTTTGAGGTTAAGAAATATTTTATAATTTTAAAAAGGGCCACAGATCATGATATTGTTGCATAAGGCAAAAAAAATTAATTTTGCAGGATTCTAAGATATGGACAAAGGCTAGTATTAAAAAAATTTAAATGGTAAAAGAGCAGAATAATTTTGAAGAATCATTTTAATATAAAATTATTTTTTGTCTAAATTTATAAAAATATTTGTGCTCATTTTGAAGTTTTTGTAAAAATTTTTTTACAGTTTTTGTTATATTTGAGATTAAGTTACTACAAATAACATTTAAGCAAACTTTTTAAATGTTAAAAATGGATCATATGGTGAATAATTCCTTGACAAATCAACAAAAAAAAGCACGATTTTCAACCCGACCCTTCAAATTTTTCTAAAATTTTACAAAATATATATTCGCCTCCAATTTCAAACAATGTCTGAGATATGAGCCTCTAAATGTAAATGGGGCATGGCGAAATACCCTCCTTTTAATTTTAGATATCTTTGGATATAATTGAGCGAGTAATGTTAAATATTGTTTAAAAATTTAAATGTCAAACCGGAAATGAGCATAAATCAAATCGGGGTTTTTATCTCTCAGATTTTTTTATGTATGGATATAAAATCAATTAATAAATATGCAAAATAGTTGGACTGAACTCACGTTTAGGAGATATGTGGCATTTTAATCATTATTCTATTGCAAATATTCTCTATAAATATTTGATGTTATAGGAGATATGGCTCTAATCATTAATCTATTGCAAATATTCTCTATAAATATTTGATATTAATCAATAATGGCAATATAAGTCAAAAGCTATCAATAAATATTTAAAAATAGTTATTAAAGTTCTAAAAAGCTTTTTTTGAGGGGGACTGGTTAATTTAATTGTTGAATTGAATTTCTCTCCTTATAAAAATAACTTCAAAATACAAATCTATTTTTGATAATAATTTTCAGAGACCTGCAAAGGTACCATTTGTACGGCCCGGCTCGGATTTTTTTTCAAAAATTTTTTACGGCCAGGCTCGGCCCGGGTTTAAAAATTTTAGGCCTGGCCTGGCCCGGCCCGGGTTTAAAAATTTTAGGCCTGGCTTGGCCCGGCCCGAATATTTAAAAAAAATTTTTGGGGGCCCGGCCCGGCCAGGATTTTAAAAATAAATTTTTTTTAGGCCCGGCTCGGAATTTTTCAAAATTACATTCAACCTGGTATATACAAAAAATTCATTATTTCGTATTTTATCATATTTTTCGGAGAGTATTATCATTTAATAAGCAAGTATAAAAACGGCTAACTCAATATTTTCGCCAGAAAAATATTGACTAAGCCTTGAAATTTCGATACTATATGTCTAGACCTTTGCTCCTTCTATGAGCAAAATTTCCAGGCTTGCTTAATATTTTTCTGGATAAAGAACTGAGTTACCCGTTTTTAAAAATCGGCTCAAAACGAGCCTTTTTTAACATATTTTATTCTAAACAGATATTTAGTATATTACAAATTGATACAATAAAAAATTTGTGTAAATAATATTTTGAGAATATAATAATGTATTTAATCCTTTGCGTATTTATTCCATGGCAGGAAAACTATAATTTTATTATATGATAGATACTATGAGTGTTAGCTAGTGTTAACTTTCACCAAACATTATATTAATCATAACTATATATAATCATTATAACCATATCTAATTGACGAATATAATAATTTATGTTGTATTAATTTTTTAAAAAAATACGGCCCGGCCCGGGTATTTTTTAATTTCAGGCGCGGCCCGGGTATATTTAAAAATTTAAAATACAGCCCGGCTCTGGTACCCGGGCTTAGGGCCGGGCCTGCAGGTCTCTGATAATTTTATTGAAAAAAAATTTTAGTTCTTATATTGTAAATTGAATAATTTTTACAATATTATTATAATTTTCCCTATGAATAAAAATATGAAACATTAAAAATTTAAATGGCTCTTCTAGCTCAATTATATCGAAAATTAAAGTGAGTGCATTTGCCTTAATTTTTTGACCTTAAGCCTGTATCCCAACTGCTATTCAGAGTTCGATGCTTAAATTTTATTTTTTCTTAGTTATAGTATTAGTAAAAATTTTAGAAAAATCTAAGGGGATTAAGTTGAAACTCATGTTGATTTGTCATGAAATTCACCATATATAAGAAGTCATACCAAATTATTTCCACACAGAGAAATAAGCTATATTTATCTGTAATTCGTTTAATAATATATTAATTTGATTGATAAGGATCATTCCATTTGATTCTTAATATTTCATTCATTCAAACCTACATAATTAAATACACATTTTTTATTTCAACGGATAATAAGCCTCAATTATGATAGTCTTTCACAAACATCAAACTCCAATACCAAAAGCGAACCCATCACTGACGATTATGGCTACTACTCTGCTGCTACAAAGAACAACAATTCTACATATCTTTCTTTGCCCTCACCATCACCCCATTCAGAACCATTACGAATTTGTGCTTTAACTTCAGGATCAGCTGACGTTGGGGTTGTTCAAAATTCTTTGGCCATGGGAATCTCTCAGCAGGTGCCGTCACTTATGATGATGGTGGACTCGCGAATATGCCGCGATTTTCTGCGGGGTGTGTGTAAACGTGGACCCGCATGTAAATTTATCCACCACCACATCATGGATGCAGCCCCCATTCCACTAGTTTGCCGCGATCATCGTAACGGTATATGTGTCCGAGGATCTACTTGTAAATATCAGCACATTCCGCTTTCGCCTCTACCTTCAGTTGGCACTTCATGCAATGAGGACTGTGGTGACGAAGACTCACTTATGATGGTTATGATGGGTGGCGGGATCGGTGGGGGTCCTGTTGGTGTGTCTTTGGCCCCCTCAACCTCTTTTTACTTATCGGATTCTCGGGCCACCTCTATGACCATCCCATCGTCTCTCTTCTCTTGTGCTAAATCCATTGGTCTCGATGATGCAGTATTAACATCTCGTCGTTGGGATCAGGTCTGTGGTGATATCACCCCTAATACGGCATCTTTCTCACCCCCATACTCATCTTCGGCCTCTCATGCCCAATTGAGTACTGCGGATAAGATTATTCCCGTCTGCCGGGACTACATGAAAGGAAAGTGCGACCGTGGTTTTCGATGCCGCTTTCGACACATTACTATGGCGGATTATCGTAGCGACTCGAAAGAGCGCTCTCGAGGTTCCATCTTTAAGGAAGGACCCTCTATTTTAGGTCGAATATTACCAACGGTATCACTGCCCACAGTCGTCGTCAGCGCAGCCTCTGGTCCGCTCTTTATATCGCATCAGCCCCATCACTCAGCCCTGCAATATTCTCTGTCTCCCCTCTCCATGCAGTCATGTTGTCCGCTGACTTACGTGACCCCGGCTTCAGCAACTATCAATATCTTGGATCCCGGCTTAGAACTGCCTCTTACGAAGCGCCGCCTTCGTCAACAGGCTCAACAGATAGGTAATGCTGTCGTCAGCATTATTGATAACCCCCTTTCCAATTCGGCTTCTATGGACGGTTTGAACAATTCCAACGATTCCATTAACACTTTTAATAATGTCAAACTCAGTGCTGGTGGTAGCGCGGGTATTCTCAACATGATACCACTATACTCTGGTTCCGATTTTAACAACATTAACAATTCTTCCGGTAACCATAATCTTCATACCTTGTCCCACTCGGAAAAGGCTTTGGTAGAGGAGAACGAAAGCCTGAAGCAACGACTTAATACTCTCAAGAAACAGATTGCGGAACTTAATGCCACAGTTGATATGCTTCTCGAGCAGAATAGGAGGTTACGGTTGTGCGGTATGGGTGGAGGTATAGTCGGAAGTGCTAATACCCTTCTTGGATCGCTCAATAACACAACCTCTATGACTCTGGGTCAAATCGCTCAATCCCCTTCCGCTGCTATAGCCCCATTGACTCTTCTGGCCGCCCACCAGCCTCACCAGCAACTTCAACCTCTGACACAATCTACCCTCATGATAGGAAACAATCACCAAATAATTCCACACTCTTTCCAAACCAATATCAGTGGTAATCAATCATTCAACATCTCTGATACCTCGTTGGCCGGCACCCATCTTAGTAATATCCAGGTCTTGCCATGTATCAACCAATCCCATAGTTACCTCCAAAGCGGCGACACCACTTTCCTTCAGAATCAGCTTTATCAGCAACACCAACAAATGCTGAACGTTACCCAGATTAACCCTTCCCTGCAATCTCATTCTACTCACTCTCACGTTCAACAACTCGCCTCCGCAAACTCTATATCTCTCTGCATTGAGACAGATCAACTTACTCAAAATCAAATAGTTCCCAATGTATGCGAAACAGTCAACTCTCGTGCAGCCAACCACGTAAACGACAGAGAGACAATAAAAATTAAGGAAGATATCACGAAATAGAAAATAATTTTTTCGAATTACTTATACGATATTAGCGTTTAATTCCACACTAATTTTTAATTGTATTTATATATTTTATTCTGTCGTTTATATTAATTATATAATGCATCATGTTATTGTTTTTTGTTTATTATGATGAGTAATAACCGAAATAATTGTTAAACATCGTTATTTCATTCTTCTACCTGTATGACCTTTATTTATTAATTAAAAATTGTATTGACATATTTGTTTTCTCTGTAACTATTTTGAAATGATAATAAAACATTATTTAAAAAAGATTAATTGCTCTAAATTGAAACTTGTTTTATGCGAATCTTTGTCAGACTTTTCAACAAACATTACCACTCCGCTTTATACTGTTTTAAAATGTAATTGTACACTAAAAATGAATTTCATAGAATCATTTATCCTTATGGTAAAAATGCGAATTGATTAATTAGGTTATTCATATGAATTGATAATTCAATATTTTGATTCCATCAACAAAACGTTTTTTCAAAGCTGTTTTTAGGTAATGTTACCAGCAAATGATGTGTGAAATGCAGGGACCTGAACCGTTCAGTTTGGTAAAGGTTCAGTATGTAAAAAATTATAGTGGTTACGCTTTGGTTCAGAAGAAATTTATAAAGGTTCGGTTCAGCTAATTATAAAGGTTCATTACGGTTAGAAATTTTTTTTTATTGAAGCAACACCATCTTCTAATTTATTTTTATTTTAAGTATCTATGAATTATATATAAAAAAAAATTTATAAGATTCAAAATAACTCATTTTTAAATATATTATTTGAACGTATTAGTAAAATATTTTCTAATATAAATGGATTCCTTTTTGTTCGTTGTGACGATAACACAAATTTTAGCCCCGAAAAAGTCCTTTCTACAGAAACTTGTGTTGCGGGAACCGCCAATACTATAAGAGCAAGTTTATATAATTCTGGATATTCAAATTATTTCCATTTCTAAAATATAAAAACTGACCGGTTTAACCGTTTTTTATAAAGGTTCATTTTACTCCTTCAAAAGATAATTATATCGGTTATGTTTCAGATATTTATACCGGTTTATAATGGTTTAACGGTTTGTTACGGTTCACTCCGGGTCCCTGGTGAAACGGGGATCCGGATATTTTTAAAAAATGAATTCAACAAGTTATCCTTTGTTTGGAAATATACAAAAAAATTGTTGGTAACATTGCCCAATAACCGCTTCCAAAAATACGTTTATCTGGAAATGTCCGAAGAAAGAATGACCAAAAAATTATGAAGTAATTTTATATATAATAATTCAATGAAATTATTTTTCGTAAAATAGTATAGCGAATCGTGTAATTCGGGTTAATTGTATAATAGGAATGATATATGACCGATATCATTCTTCTCATAATGGAAAGAAATTAATTTCTAAATTTTTAAATAATTTTTAAATAAAATGTTTTAAAGAAAGGGATATTATTTAAAAAAGTAATTTTAAAATTTGATAATTTGTTGAGTCTTCCAAAATAAATTGAAATTAGTTTTGTACACTGTTTTATTTTTGACGCTAAAAGGTAAAAATATAGATTGTAAATATGTTAAATTAAAATTTAAGTGAAGATTTCCCCTAAATAAGTGACAATTGTCAATCGTTATTTTTAAAGTTTTTTGAATTTTTTTAAAGCAAATGGGTAAAAATATATATTGTAAACATGTTAAATTAAAATTTCAGTGAAGATGTACCATAGAAAGTGACATTGTCATAATCGTTATTTTTAAACTTTTTTGAATTTTTTTAAAGTAAATAGGTAAAAATATATATTGTAAAAATGTTAAATTAAAATTTCAGTGAAGATATACCATAGAAAGTGACAATTGTCATAATCGTTATTTTTAAACTTTTTTGAATTTTTTTAAAAGTAAATCGGTAAAAATATATATTGTAAAAATGTTAAATTAAAATTTCAGTGAAGATATACCATAGAAAAATGACAATTGTCATAATCATTATTTTTGAACTTTTTTGAATTTTTTAAAAGAAAACTGGTAAATATATATATTGTAAACATGTTAAATTAAAATTTTAGTGATGATACCACAGAAAAGTGACAGTTGTCATAATCGTTATTTTTGAACTTTTTTGTTAAAACGAGGTGACTTTTAGCCTACGCCCGTTTATCTTATTAGGCGAGGAGGAGAGCACACTTTTTAATTACATAACCATTTAAATTTGAAAGTAAGGAGATTGATTTGTAAATCTACACGTATAAATAAATTTCTTGATTTGAAAACTATCTAAATAAAAAAAAAGATTAAGTTTTGTTAATTGGTTAGTTGTGTAACCCCCAGACCCGTGGTTTGGGTCTAAAAATTGACTAAACCAGCTCTGATCACGAGCCCCTGGGAAAGACTCGGAGTTCACACACTTAATCGCCACGCCTAAAAAAATGCGAATATGTATTTTCTTTAAAAAATATTACAAAACGATGTAATTATTTATATAAAGTATTTAAGAATAAATGTGGGGGGGGGGGGGGGTTTAACTAAACCTTTTTTCGCAAAATCGATTTTCATAATTCTTCCTAAATTTTTCTCGCAATTGATCAGACGTACTATGTTTTCTTTAAAAGTCAAAACAAATCTTTTCCTCTTAATAATTTTTTTCAAAAAGGCAAAAGCATAGTCAATGGCACATTTCCCCTTTAATGTCAATATTATTTTTAATTTCATATAATAAAATATCGAATCCCGGATAAAACCCTCGAAAAAACCTCGGAATAAAAACCTCCTGTTAGGACCTAATAATATCGGTATATTTTTATTTGGATTTAATAAAGTATAGGCAAATTAGTATTTTAGAAAAAATTATTATAGAAATATAATTTAATAATAATTTTTTTTAGGCCCCAATTCATTACTTAAAGATTACTTATACATTACTTAAAGATTACTCATATACCCTCCTGGTACTGGGACAAAAAATTACCCCAGTAAAATAACCCATGTATTACTAATTTTCGTAAAAATTATTTGTTATTGTAATAAATACAATATCCATCCTTAATTACTATATTAAGTAGACTAAATTTGACAAAATTTGCAATAAGATCTGTTTATTTAATGAAAAATCATTATGTATATACAAATTTAATAATTTAGAATAATAATTTTATCGGTTGACATCAAATAAAGGTGAAAATCGCCCTCATAAAATCTAATCTGGAAGGCTTTGCACCCTATCACGGTATTCCTCGCAAAGTTTCTTTAACCGAATCTGAGTATTATAACTCTACGATTTTGTTTTGGTGTCCAACTACCTACACGCCATCGTTCAAGTTTGGTTTCATCGGCAGCAACCTCGCATTTCATTTTATTAATCAATACCCAAATTGATGGGCGTTTATTCCCAACCAGATATGAAAAATGATGATCCCAACCTTCGTATTGATTATTTGTGGGTTCTTCATCAGATAGGGTGTTCTCATTCACGTTCCAAGTTTCTGGAGGAAATCGAGGCCCAATTTGAAGTGTCTGGGATTGAGAATTGCTTCTTGTGGCCTCCCTTGATGTAATTTTTATCGAAATATTCAAGAATATCTTTACCATGGGTCGGAGTAACTGATCTCAGGAATGCCATTGCATTGCCCATATCACATAAAGGAACAAATGTTAAGCCGTCCCTCATGCCACAAAAGAAGCTTAGTGCTTCATCGGTTCTGTATTGGCTTTCCAGACCTAGCTTTTGTAGTTTTCTTTGGGTACTTTGACACAAATGGTAAATCATCCTCTGATTTAAATAATTTAATATTAATTTTTATTAGGCATACTAATATAAAAGTAAATAATACAGAATACTTATCCAATATATACAAATAGTTTACATGTACAACTTAAAAATATATTAAATCAAGTATATTAAAATATTTAATTTCGCGTAAATATACATTTAAAAAATAATAATACTGTATTTATAAAAATAATAAATATATATAATTATAATAAAATATAAGCAATTTTTGTTGTACATAACGGAATTTAAGAAAAATATATAATTTAAAAATTCTAGAAATTTTAATTTAACATGATAATATTATTTCTATTTTTTCGTAAGATTTTGTGTTGGGGGGGGAGGGGGGGGGGTACTGATATATAATTGCAGAAAATTTTTTGGGGACATAAAATTTCCACCCATATTAATATAATATGCCATGAGCACTCACTTATAAATTTATTTATCAAAATTAATTATTGCTAGGTTATACTAAAAAAATTAAATGAAAATTGAGAAGAAAAAAATTAAGAAAAGATCCGAAAAACAAAGATTAAAATAGAAAATAAATGACCAATCTCTCCCCCGTCTCTCTCTCCCATTGTTATTTAAAATTTGTAACAATAGCAAGATTTTTTGGTTCTTTAAATTATTTCAATTTAAAATGTATTATTTATATATTTATTCTTAAATTTCAATGATTATAGTGCCTCGATGGCACCAGTAAGTTTTTTTAAAATTTTTTTTAAAAAAAAAATTCTTATTTTAATAAATGGTTCAGTCTCAACGCTACACCCTTACTAAAAATTTCATAATTTAGTAAGCATAAAAAAATATTCGATTTAAATTATGATCAAAATATTTATGATAATATAAAAAAATTTTTTTATTATTTACTCATATTATTTGTTAATCATGCAAAATGAATCCAAATTTTTTGTGTTCAAAAGCGTTCCTATTTTTTTTAAAATATCATTTAAAAAAATTTAAAATAACAATATTTATATATTTTTTAAATGTTTTTTTTATATGTATTACATGATTTTTAAATAAAAGAATTAATATATAATTTTTACGTTGATAAATCTCATTTTGAACCTTTGCGCAAATAAACAAGAATATCTTTTAGTTCAATCTCCACTAAAAGTTCTCATACACAGTGGCGTAGCCAGGATTTTATCATGGGTCATGGGGGGGGGGTTAAGAAATTTTTTGGGGGGCTTCGACCCCCATACCTTTCATTTTTTGAACTTTCATATAACAAAATTTTAGGGTATTTTATTATATATTTTACATTCCTTTATTTAATCATGTATATATTTTTATTAATTAAAATACTTTCAAAATGTTGATATTTTATATAATATAGATTTTAATATTAAAAATTATAATGTATAAAAACTCTATTTTAAAAAGAGTAATTTTTTACAATTATATAAAATATGTAATTATTATGCAAATAATGATATTTAAAAAAATATGATAATATTATCTTATAAATAATACTTTTTTTACAAAAAAAAATTGATTATATATTAAAACTAATAAAATTTTATTGCTATTTTTTGATTTTAATTTAAAAAGAGCGATCCACTTTTCTCTGAGATTTTGCTAATTCATCTATAGAATCAAATTTTTATCTAAAATAATCTCCTTATAAATATTCAATAGGGCTAATCCATTTAAACGTTTTTCACCAGTTGTGTTTCTTAAATAGGTTTTTAACCTTTTTAAAGTTGAAAAAGACCTTTCATTAGTGCAGGTACTAATTGGCAAGGTAGCTAAAATAATTAATAATGTTTTGATATTAGAGAGGGAATCTAAAATGCAATTACACATGGAAAGGGCTAGCAGAGCATTTTTTGGTCTCAAAGAATACCCTATTCTGTCAAGATTTTTATACCAAAATTCGACATCACAAAGTAACTTATATGAACCTACTAAATCATCAGCATAAAACTGAGATTTTTTTAATATCATCTCTTGTTTCAAGTGTAATCAACAGTTTAGACTCAACCGGCAAAGAAAATAAAAGCTTTTTAAATTATAATTATGACTAATAAATCTTTCTTTTAATTGAAATAAAAATGTATCAATAAGGGGAATAAAAATGTTTATTTTATAAATCCTCAATCGTAGATGCATCAATATTTGATCGATTGGATTGTCTAGAGACTACTCTAGGTTTAAAAATTTCAATTCCAAACATATTAGCAATCTTTACTTTTTCATATATTTCATGAAAATTTTCATCCACATTCTCTCTGATATTTGTTAATATTTTAACAATATCCTTTGCTCTATTCATAATCTCCCTTAAATCCAAATCAATTTTTTGTAGCATTTTGCTAAAATCATATGTATAATTAAATAAAAAATAAACACATTGAATTGAAATTAAAAATTGTGGCTTAATAATAGCCTGCAAAAGATTTCCGGCATCTGCTGAATCTTTTTCCTTGCTTGATATATAAAATTATAGTGCTGCAAAGACAACATCATATATTTCAATAAAGAGTTTCACCGACTCTTGTCTTTCGATGAATCTGGTCGGACAAAATCTTTTTAGTTTTTTTTTTGATTTTTTGAGTCAATATCATGATACGTTTGAATAAATAACTCCCTTTTTTGGGGTGGTGTGAAATAGCTGCAAACCAAAAAAATATATAAATAATCAAATGTGTATATCTATTATTATTTATAATTTAAAACATAAAAATTAAGCGTTTATTAAGAATTTATTAAATTAAAAAAAAAAATTTTTTTTACATTTTTCATGGGGGGGGGGGGTTGAACCCTTAACCCCCCCCCCCCCCCCCCCCCCCCCCCACATGCTTACGCCATTGCTCACAACTAACATTAAAAACGATCCAAATTTTTCTTCGTCTATATTATTTCTCAGCCTATTTTTTATTAAATGTTCTCTCGCAATTAACTTGAGTAAATGATAAAGAATGCATATGTGAAAAATAAATTATATTAATCAATTGTTACATTTATTATCACAATTCACATTCTGTTATTATCTTATTCTACTTTTTCATTAGACTCCTCACCTGCTCATACGATATCATCGTCCGTTTCATTTAATTCTGCTATTAAATCCTTGAATTCACAGGCAATGAACACAATTCGTTACGTTATTTAACATTCAATATATTTGTTGTGTCACTTTTTCCAAGGCCTTTTCAGAAATACCTTTACTATTATTTTTATCAAAATGCCTAGGATAATATTGAACATTCAAAATAAACTCTCTTTTTGCGGAAAACCATTCTGGTGTTTATAATTTGATCAATTATAGGACGAAATACTTCGACCCTATAATTTCAAATCAAATCCAACAAGTTTTTTTTTATCTCATTAATTTTCCCGACGATAACATCCTCAACAGTTATCGATAATCTGGTATTTAAAAAAAAGTTATAAAGAATATATTTTTTAATGTTTACCTAATAAATTTAAAATAACAAATAAAAGTTGTTTATTAGCCTGCCCATTGTTAAAATTTTTCAAAGGTCCGTTAGCACTTTTTAACCCTTTCGCGCCCATGGATAATATTGGAATCATAATTTTTCAATAAATTTTTTATGCATTAAAAATAACCACTGATAACTTTTGAAATCATATTTTTAATTTTTAATATTTGCTGTTTCGTATTTTATCAATAACTCGCTTTGTTACATATGTTATTATATCATATTATAGTTATAAAAAATCAATTTTTTCGTACCAATTTCGCGCCAAAATTTTAATTCATATTTCTGGTTATCAAATCTTGCTAAAAATATAAGTATTTATTATTAATATATATATATATTAATATTTTTATTTAAAAATTATCATCTTTTTAATCATTTTGTGTGTTGGAAATTGAACATAATGCCATTTGGCATCATTGGTCATTTCTTATGCACTAAAATATTTTTTATCAATAAATGGAAATTTTTGGCAAATTATTTAGGATATTTAGATTTAAAATTATGAAAACGGAAGGGGGGGGGTAATTAGATTAGATTTTGATAATAGTTACCTATATTGATTATCTAATATCTATTAGTGGGTTTTCTTGGATATAGGGAGAGGTTCTAATAAATATTTTATATAAATAACATGTAATATGAAATGCTTTTTATATCAATATGCATTTAGATATGACTACACTTATCCCCGAGGGTGATATATCTGAGGCTGATATAGAGGGCTCAGACGAAGAAGATAATTATTATTCTTTGCTGGCAGATGATTTGCCGACTTCATCTTATATTACAAATCAACTAGGCCTTGATGTGGAGGATATAATAGAAGATACTTCTATAATTAAAATAAAAGATAACCCCATGTGGTCTAAGAAAGACATAGGAAATATGAATACAGAATATATCCCTATATTAGAAATTCCTGAAGAGGATTCAACTCCACTAACATATTTTCGTAAATTTTTTGACAATCAAATAATCAGTAATTTTGTATCGGAAACAAATAATTATTCATTCAAATGTTCCGGTAAATCTATAAATACAGATAGTGATGAAATTGAAAAATTTATTGGGTTACATTTATATACTAGTATAGTTAAGATGCCTTCTATACGACAATATTGGTCTGTTGAAACATCTATTCCACAAATAGCGGAAACTATGTCCCGCAACCGTTTCCTTTTGATCCGGGAATTTTTCCATGTCAATAATAACAAGGATATGGTAGCTAGGGAAGACAAAGGATACAACAAATTCAAAATTCAACCCTTCATATTCCAATTAAAACAAAATTTCAAAAAAATTAAACTTGAAGAGAAGCTAGCCATCGATGAATTCATAATTCCCTTCAAGGGACGATCAATATTACGACAATATATCAAATCAGAGCCCCATAAATGGGGGATAAAAGTGTTTGCTTTATGTGACTCTTCCGGGTATATGTATGATTTTGAAATATACCAGGGAAAGTCAACAAACATCATAAATTATGTTTGGGTATCAGTGGGTATATCGTTCTTCGGCTATCGGAAATTATACCTCCAAACATAAACCACAAATTATATATAGATAATTTTTTCTCCTCATATCAATTATATTTGATGCTTAAAAAAAGGGATATTTGGTATCTGGAACGATAAGATCAAATCGCTTATCAGGGTGCACACTTAAAAATGATAAGGCTTTAAAAAAAGAAGGAAGAGGCGCCATAGATTACAAAAGCGAAAAGAATGGTATTATTATCTGCAAGTGGCAGGACAACAAAGCTGTTACTACTATATCTAATTTTATAGGTGTTTTACCTACAACCAAAGTTAAGCGATGGTCTGTTTCGGATAAAGTCTTAATAAATGTAGAAATGCCCGCAATAATTAAGAACTATAATGAGGGAATGGGTGGAGTAGATCTTCACGATATGCTGGTGGAGTTATATCGGACAGATATTAAATGGAAACGATATTATATGCGAATGGTTTTCCATTTATTGGATTCTTGTGTGGTAAATCCCTGGCTCCTATTAGACGCCATATGAAAGCGTTAAATAATATAAAATTTATGCCTTTACTGGTATTTAAATCGCAGATAGCAAAAGGGTTGATGCTTGCAGGAAAGGATAATACAAAGAAAACCGGCAGACCTTCCAGCATAGATGTTAAAAAAGAAAAGCTATCAACATTGCCTCCATATCGGATATAAGATATGACCAAGTAGGTCATTTCCCAATGCCCGTAAGTATTAAGCAAAGGTGCAAGTATTGCGTAGAAGCCTATTCAAGAATTATTTGCAAAAAAATGTAATATTTATTTATGTTTAAATAATAAACGAAATTGTTATTTGTCATTTCATATGAAATAAAATATTTTTTAAATGAACTTGCATTTTGCCCATTGATAACAATTGGAATCATTAAATATCTTTTGATAGAAATACTCGAAATAAGTTTTTTTGATGAAAATGTGTTATTTGTGTCTATAATAAATAACTCTTAAAAAAAAAAATTTTTCATCGAGGGAAAAAAAGTTGGGCGCAAAAGGGTTAAATTATTTAGCTAGCCAGCCCAATTTGATAGAAGGGCGTGGGCTAAAAACCAGATCATTTGGGCAAAAAAATTCAAAAATATTTTAAATAACGATTAACTGAAATTTTATTTTAACATGTTTACAATATATATATTTACAAGTTTGCTTTAAAAATTTTCAAAGTTCACAAATAATGATGACAATTGACACTTTGTTATGGTCATCTTCACTGAAATTTTAATATAACATGTTTATAATATATATTTTTACTTATTTTCTATGAAAAAATTCAAAAAAGTTCCAAATAACGATTATAACAATTCTCACTTTTCTATGCTACATCTTCAACTTAAATTTTTAATTTAACATTTTTACAATATATATTTTTACCGATTTACTTTAAAAAAATTCAAAAAAGTTCAAAAATAACGATTATGACAATTGTCACTTTCTATGGTACATCTTCACTAAATTTTAATTTAACATATTTACTATATATATTTTTACCTATTTACTTTAAAAAAATTCAAAAAAGTTCAAAAATAACGATTATGACAATTGTCACTTTTCTATGGTACATCTTCACTGAAATTTTAATTTAACATGTTTACAATATATATTTTTACCCATTTGCTTCAAAAAAGTTCAAAAATAAGGATTATGACAAAAATTTTAATTTATCATGTTTACAATATATATATTTTTACCCATTTGCTTCAAAAAAATTCAAAAAAGTTAAAAAATAACGTTTATGACAATTGTCACTAGAGATCTGCAAAGTTAGGCCCGGCCCGAGTCCGGCCCTATTCAAAATAATCGGGTTCGGGCCGGGCCTAATATTTTTAAAAAAAATTCGGGCCGGGTCGGGTCGAACCTTGGATATTTTTTTAAAATATATCTAAATTTATCAATTTTATATTGAATTTTTTATGTCAAATAAAATTATTTGATTTTATTTATTGAAACTAAACTACATATAACATATGTCTTTTATTTTGATTAATTATAAAGATTAATCTATATATTTATATAAATTCGGGCCGGGCTGGGTGGGTAAATTTTTTAAAAAAAATTTCGGGTTCGGGCCGGGCTGGCAAAACTTTTTAAAAAATTTTTGGGTTCGGGCCGGGCTTGAAAAATTAGGCCCGATGCAGATCACTTATTGTCACTCTTCTATGGTACATCTTCACTGATATTATTTTAACATCTTTACAATATATATTTTTACCTATTTACTTTAAAAAAATTCAAAAAAGTTAAAAAAATAACGATTATGACAATTGTCACATATCTATTATGTCAAAAAATTTCAAAAAACTTTAGAAATAACGATTATGACAATTGTCACTTATCTATGATACATCTTCATTGAATTTAATTAAACGTATTTACAATCTAAATTTTTACCTATATGCGTCAAAAAATTTAAAAAACTGTAGAAATAACGATTTTGACAATTGTCACTTATCTATCACTGAAATTTTAATTTAACATATTTACATTCTATATTTTTACCTATTTGCGTCAAAAAAATTCAAAAAACGTTAGTAATAACGATTATGACAATTGTCACTTATCTAGGGTACATCTTCACTAAAATTTTAATTTAACATATTTACACTATATATTTTTACCTATTTCCGTCAAAAAAATTCAAAAGACTTTAATAACGATTATGACAATTGTCACATATCTATGGTACAACTTCACTGAATTTTTACTTAAACGTATTTACAATCTATATTTTTACCTATATGCGTCAAAAAATTTCAAAAAACTAAGGAAATAACGATTATGACAATTGTCACTTTTCTAGGGTACATCTTCACTGAAATTTTAATTTAACATATTTACAATTTATGTTTTTACCCATTAGCGTCAAAAATAAACTAATATGTTTAAAAATACAGATTATGATAATTGTCATTTTTAGAAAGGATCATCATTGAATTTATAATTTAACATCTTTATAATATAAATTATATTTTTATCCTTTTCTGTCAAATATTTCATAAATGTTAAAAAATAACATGACAATTATCACAAAGACGATCATGTAAAATGGTTCCACGTCTTTATAGAGAAACCATTATAGAGAATGTATTTTATAGAGAAACATTTATAGAGAAAACAATTATAGAGAATGCATTTATAGAGAATTGTTTTATAGAGAATGTAATTTATAGAGAATGATTTTAAAGAGAATTATTTTATAGAGAATGTCCTTTATAGAGAATGACTTCAAGGAGAATGATTTTATAGAGAATGGTTTTATAGAGAATGTCGATTATAGAGAATGATTTTAAAGAGAATTATTTTATAGAGAAGGTCCTTAATAGAGAATGACTTCAAAGAGAATGATTTTATAGAGAATGTTGTTTATAGAGAAGGATTTTAAAGAGAATTACTTTTATAGAGAATTACTTTTATAGAGAATTATTTTGTAGAGAATTTCATTGTAGAGAATTATTTTGTAGAGAATTACATTGTAGAGAATTATTTTCTAGATCTTGATTTTATAGAGAAATATTGTATGTTCAAAAAATTTATGCGGGATTTGAAAATATATCAAAATTAACATTTTAATAATACAATTCAGTTTATTTGTTGTTTTTTCGATGACTTTATTTGTTTCAACAATGGTTTTTTTGTAAAATCTTTTTAGTTCATATCAAGGTAGCTTGATTATTAACTCAGCAAAACCAACCCTGAAACGATTTGTTAAATATGTATTAACCGTTATTAAAGAGAATCTAAACTGAACCAACCATTTTTAAAATTTTTATATATTGCATTTATATGTCAGCTATCTAAATTAGCCTTTAGAAGGGTTCTTAACTTTACCCTTATGGATATATGACGGACGAGAATCTTATTCTAATTTTAATTAAGAAAAGGTTTTAACCAGTTGTTTGGGTAAAAAATATGTCACATTCCCGTTCGTTCTGCGTTTCGGAACACGTTTCTAAATATAATTTTCTTTCTATTTTATTATACAAATTTTATTCATAAATCTTTTTAATATAGATAACTAAGAATTCATTAATCTCTAATGATACACATTTAGTGTATGCGATGGCTTTAATATATTGAGTGTCGAAAAGTGCCGATCTCTAGGGGTTCCACATATTTATAGAGAAACCAATATTTTTGATTAATTAGAAGCACCACAATTTTGTCCTACCTAAAAAACCAAAACCGTCAATTGAAGGTTTCTATATAAGATATTATAGCGAATGCATTACCGCGAATGCACTATCGCGAATGTATTATAGCGAACGCATTACCGCTAATGCATTATAGCGAGTATAATATAGCGAAAATATTATAGCGAATGCATTATCGCGAATGTATTAGCGCGAATGCATTATCGCAAGTGTATTATCGCGAATGCATTATCTCAAATGAATTACATAAGTTGCGATATCTGGAATGGAGTTTGATGAAAACTACAATTTTATATTTATCGGCCTTTAGACAGACTTAGTTGAACCTGGAAATTAAGTTAAAGTCGGGCTTGGGTCTAAAAATATTTTTTTTTAAAATAGGGTTATTGATTTTTTTGACTCAAAAAATGTAAAAAAGATTATAAGCAATAAAATAGATTTCTCTAAAGATTAGGGTAAAGGAATTAAATTTTTATATTAATTGATTGTTTAAATATGCGTTTAGTTATATTTTTCAATTAAATTTGGGACAGGACAGGCTCAGGCCTAAAATTTAAAATTATGGCTAGGGTCCTAAAAATAAAGATTTTGGATGGAGCTTTGGCCGAAATAAATAAAATTTGCAAGGCACTAAGAAAAAAAGTTTTATTTAAAACATTGAGCCAAACAGATAATTAGACCTTGGATTTATATTATTCTTTGACAAAGAATGCTTTAATTAGTGAGGGATTTAGTATTGACTTGATAAGCATTTTATGATAATAAATTTGTATTAAGTTCTCTTATTGTTTAATCAAAACGACAAGGTCAAAGCTTATCACAACAAGACATGAAACAATATTCAGCATCATAGGTAGATTGTTGAATTGAATTTCTATCCATCTCAGTACTTAATTCGTGTAATCTCTGATGATGAAATTGCCACTATTGTGACTAAGGAATTATGAAAAAAATAGATTATTGATTTCCTTAATTGATTCTTGCTAAGTTCTTGCTTCCTGACGAGTCTTTTTTCTAATTATGTGATCAAAGACAAAATTGTATAAAAATGGATATAGAAATATAAAAAATATAAGTAGAGCTAAAATTGAATGAATTGAACATGCCTCATATATTATTAAAAATAACTTAGCTATTTTTAACACAAATTACAGTATATTTCCATTTCAGTTCAGTTGCTATATTTTATTAATCTGATGAATGTCATAAATTTTATTAATGTGGCGATAATAGTGATTGGACATTACTATCATCGCTGAAGATGAGAAAATTTAATGGAATAAAAAATTTACTTTGTGAGTTGTACTTCAAGGAGTAGATACAACCCTAAAAAATCGAAAGGTGGAAAATATCTCTTTTTTACATTTTCTATGCCTTCATTTTAAATGTGTATTCTTCAAGACTAAAAGAGGTTTAGAAAGATTTAAAATAAAAGTTTTAAAAGCAAGCATTGATGGATATAAAAATTAATTAAACAAGCTGAAGCGATCATTTATGACTCCTCTTTTTA